TTGATTTTTGATTTTTCACTAGACATTCACAGATATGGCACTTGCTAATCCCTATCACTTTTCTGTATGAGTTAGAGAAATGTGCACATAATTAATCTGCAGTCCTGGTAGAGGGTATAAGGAGGCTCTCTTTGCATTTTCTTTTGCGATCTCTGCATTAGTAATTTCTTGCGATAACAGATTAAAACTGAAATATTAGGCCCTAAACGTAAAATAATGATAGTACAGACTTGACATTTAATATGGAATATTTCAGTTTCGAAGGTATACCTAGGTGAAAATACGTTCTTTTTTAAAAAAACTCTCATATAAGATTTGTGAATGTAAAAGTGTGCAGTCAGGTGTGTCACTACCAATTAACTGACTTTCATGCCTGTTGCGCTGCTACATTTTGTAATTTGCAGTGATTTAATTGGGTAGTGTTCCTTTGGGCTGATCAAAGCTTGGCTTAGGCAAAGCTTGGTTCTGTCAAAAAAGTATCCATATTTCGGCAACTACTGCATAGAAGAATTTGAAATTTTGCATGCAAGCGGTCAGTTTTGCAGTGCGTAAGATGAGCCAAGTAGTGCATTACAAATTCGTTAATCTAAGGCAGAATGGCGCGAAAAAGACAGACATAATCAGACAGATCATAGCGCCAAACGGAACGGTCCCCAGTTTTATAGAGTAATGCCCAGACTGATGTACCTACACAGAGGTCACCCCCAATGTATCAAAATTTTACCTACAGGGTACAGGGCCCACTGTCTTTCGGGATACGCTGCTGCAACTGAACAAAAAACACTTAGTCCGTTCAGAACGAGGGGTAAATTGCCACTACAATGCGTTTTTCAAAGCCCTTAGCGAACACCAAACTGGTTTTAGCAGGTAAGAACACCAAATGACCTCCGAGGTACCCACTGTATACAGCAAAACATCGTCGTCTGTTTCTCTAATGAATTGGGGGCCATGAACGATTCTGGGTAGAACACTGAAACTGCGTGACTTTCTTTATTGAGGTCAGATTTCACCTGTACCGCCCAATTAGTCAAAACAGAGTTTACAGATATCCAGAAGAGGCCTACGACGAAGCATATGCCGGGTCTAAAGTGACAAGGGTGATTGACAGCGTCAGTATTTGGAGTAGATTCCACATTGGTGCCAAAACACCAATGGTAGTCATCGACGAAAACCTGAACCAGATCAAATAAATGAATAATCTCGGAACCACTTGACTATCATTTGATAGGGGGCACCTTAGGAACAATTCTAGGTTGCACGATGAGGTTGCAGGTTCACACAGAGCACTTTTAATAGCAGAAAACTTACAGAACCAAGGGAATGAGCAGCTACCCTGGTCATCAAAATCGCCACATTTAAACCACATAGACAATATTTCAGTAGACCATTACTAACCAATCAACTGCCTACATGTCCTACAACAAAACTGGACCAGATTGGACAATTTTAGACCGATGCCTGGAATGCTATTCCAGATTGAACTCTAAAATCCTACCCCCAAGAAATGCCTTGCCGCTTGAGAGCGCTGGCAACAGCCACGAAGAGGCCAGGCGTAACAATGACCATTACTGTGACTAGCAACTGACATGAGGGTCTTTTGTGGAGCGTATTACCCTTTTAAAGACCATAATCTGGAAAATATGGAGATCCAAAATATCTCTTTTAATGGGAGTCGTATGACATAGAATGGGCAATGTGTTTTTGTTTGCTTCTCTGGCGAATTGCATTAATGAACTGATGTCACAATGACATCAAACAGATAATCTAAAGTTATTAAAACACTATTTTAATCTTTATTTTCATTTATCAGTCAGCAAAATAGGAAAAAACTGATAAAAAATTATTTCGAAAAAAATATTCCATATTAAATGTCAAGTCTGTATTTAGCCTAATATATATTGGGCAAGTATTTGTGACATCTGACCAAAGCCGCTGCACTCTGTCGGTATCTATGCAAAAAACATCTGCGACATCATACTGAACCATCCACGGAATCATGTAAGTTTTCATGATAAAAAAAAAAAAAAAAAAAAAAGGGCCCCGCCCCCCCAAAAAATTGTACAATCTGCTACGTTGATCGGCAAGCCATTAACTCACAATCACAAATATTCACAAAGAAACCACCTCTTTTTCTTTTCAAATGTTTAGGAATTTTACACTGAAATTACACGCCAAGACGACCTTTTTAGCAATAACAGTTCAAATGCTTTCTAAGCCCCCCCCCCCCCCCTTCCCCCAATGTCACAGCTAGGCCTACATAACATTTCAATGGCGCTAATGTCGCACTGAATACTTTCGGGATGTAGTTCGCTCACCAGTCTATTGTCATATTTTTTGCCCTGAAATCAAATCAATACTTCTTCCTTTTTTTCTAATCTCTGTTTTTCTCCTTGGTTTAAGCTTAATTTTTTTCGACTCATTGTAAATAAGGAATTGTAGTTGTGTTCTCGAAATATATTTTAGTCATAACAAACAGGTGGCGTCCAGTTACGACGAAGGATGTAGGCAAAAAAGTGTTTTCGATTGTTTGTTTTTAATGCTTATAAAAATGAGGATGTTTCTGCACTGAACCAGCTGTACAATAGTCGAGTGTGACTGTATTAGCGGTTTAACCGTCCACGCTGCGCAACTAATGCAGTAGAAATATAAAGCAAGTGCATTCTCTCTCTCTCCCTCTCTCTCTCTCTCTCTCTCTCTCTCTCTGTGCGTGCGTGAGTGTGTGCGTGTGCCTTGGAGAAAAGCTTATTTAATCTAAAAAATGAATAATAGCGCATTAACTTGCCAAGCGGAACCTGTGAAACCACTTTCCAACTGGTGCACTTTTGTTTTGCAGGGTCAAAACAGGTCAATATCGAGATTTCTCGTCAGGTGCACGAGAGCAAAATAAATAGAGCGTTTCAGTCTAATATTGCCCTGCACAGAATGAGAATTAATACAAAGCAACGCATTTCTCACTATTAAATGCCCAGGTAGCATCTTAATTGATTGATAGTAATTCTAAATGACCCTCAAATATTATATTGTAACGGTAACGAAACAAGCCGTTGTGACATGACCCTATGACGTCAGAGGTCACAGGCAACATGTTCAGGTCACCGAGCGAAGTTTAAATTTAAAACATATTGGATCTCTTTAATTGACATTATTTCCGATCCTGTGTTTCCTGTGCTGACACCACTAAAAGCGGAAATCTATGGAACGCCATCCACGCAAAAAATCAGACTTGCAATTTAGTAGCCAAATGACATTCTAACAGCCTACAAGAAATCTAACAGTGGTCAAAATAATCTAATAGCCAACTCATAAAATTTAACAGTGTGAAAAAATCTAATAGCCAACTCATAAAATTTAACAGCGTTAAAAAATCTAACAGCCAACTCATAATCTTACAGCCAACTTCTCAAAACAGGCAAGTCAGCATCTAACGCTAGAGGTCACTGCTGACACGGGCCGGCGGTTAAAGTGCTGACGTCATAGCACAACAACAATAGAGGTCACTGCTGTCGCTTTATGTCGTATTGTGACCTACTTTTAGGTACGGTAATCCGACCTTGACACTTCGGCAGCAGCCATTCCTTTATTCGATTCAACCAAACATGAACACGTCAGATTTAGACTCTTCGCTACGCAATGAGTTAGGAAAACGTTTTGAATACTTGATAAGATGTACTCAAGATGTGTCTATTGACACTGATCTGATTGAACACCAACTGGACAGCTTATGCCGTGACATTTTGTTCCTGAGAGAAAACGGAGGAGTGGGAAATCGAGGTCGAGGAGATGCATCTTATTCGGGAATTACAGACGAGATAGTGGATCTTTGCTTAAAAAGCTATCATATCGTGAATGAATTTAACAAGTCACGAGATCAAAATGAATCTTTACAAATGGACATAATGAATGGGCGGGCAAGAAGAACAGGTTAGCCAAGAAAAATTTTTTTATGACTTTATTTTTTATTTAGGCCTATTAATAATAGTATTATTATAATAAACTTAGAAGATAACCTACACTCAACTACTGTGTTCTATCACTTGCTGACTGAGAGTAGGCAGTAGGCCTACTGAACTGTAATGAAAGTGTTATGAAATTAATTAAAAAAGCGGAAAAATAGCTAATAAAAATCCAGACCCTAGTGGCTTAGGCCAATGTTAACTTCTCTAAGGCTGGCAAAAAGGCCTAGCTATCTAAACTCAGCTTATTAAACGTATTGAATGATTGCATGTACATGTATAGACCTATATTATGGACTTTGTAAGCATAGTTTAATTTGTCATATTATAATTTATCATTTTATAGAAGAACCAACAGGACAGCGTGGACGACCACGAGTTATGATCGCAGAGGGCCAATTAAAGTTTTTACTTGGTGATTATTAAAAATTCAATATTAACAATCCAATATGAATAATAACGCTATCATTGCAGACTAGCCAAGTTAGTTAGAGTTAGTGATTTAAAACCCAAATGGATTACTTCAATTGAACAAATTTTTAATCAGTGCAAGTAGTCTATTATGTATTTATTTACTGATATATAGAACTATATGTACTATGAAATCTTATTTATGAAACCAAGAATGAAAATATGTCTCTGCATCCTCTTTCTTATAGGACATGGGTTTACAATTCCTGAAATAGCTAAGCTGTTGCATGTTTCACCAAGAACAGTCTCTTACCGGCTTCAAAGTTTCAACCTAGAAGCAAAGCTGAAATATACAGACATAGATGATTACTGTCTGGAAGCTGAAATTTCAAGAGTAATGTCTCTTTTTCCAAATGCTGGTGAGTATACCTGTACTGACTGCAAATCAATTATCCTGGTTGTTGTTGACTAACCATAAACGAACATTAAGAATGGATTAACAGATTTTATTTGATCTTATCCAGGTGAGCGCTCTATCCAAGGTCATCTCCAGTCAAAAAAGATTGTTGTACAACGTCATAGAGTAAGATCCATAATGCAGTCCATAAATCCTCATAGACAACAGTTCCGTCGCTTACAGACCATACGACGAAGGAAGTACTCAGTCCAGTCACCCCTTTCCATGTGGCACATTGATGGAAATCACAAATTAATAAGGTAGGCCTACCGTCTTCTGCAAAAGTCAAATAAATTGAGAGGAATTCTTCAACCCAGATAATTTACAATAAATACAGTTATGGCAATGGTTATTAATTAATACATCTGTCATCTACTGTCATTTTAATTTCTTTACCTATTTCTTTATGTTCATTTATGTATAATAGTATTTTTTTCTCTATTACATTCTACACTGTATGCTTAACAGTATAGTTAATTTTTGTAGATGGAGACTAGTAGTACATGGTGGTGTTGATGGGTACTCTCGCCTGATAGTATACCTTCAAGCAAGTCCAAACAACTTATCGTCTACAGTCATGAAGCTTTTTGACGAAGCTGTTCAGAAATGGGGTCTCCCTTCTAGGGTGAGATCAGATCTTGGTGTTGAAAACAGAGATGTGGCAGAGTTTATGCTCAATAGGCGAGGAACTGGACGCAGATCCTTCATAACAGGGAAAAGTGTACACAATTCCAGGATAGAGAGACTCTGGAGGGATGTTTTTGAGGCTGTTCTAAGCTCATACTACCAGCTGTTTTATCATCTTGAAGATTCACATCTCTTGGACCCATCAGATGACAAAGATATCTATATTCTCCACTATGTATACTTGTCCAAGCTTAATGGAATGCTCACTCAATTCAGTGAAATGTGGAACAATCACAAAATCAGGACTGGTGGTAATAAAAGTCCTCTGCAGCTCTTTATAATGGGTATGCATGCAGCAGCTGATTACCACAATAATATGATTGCAAATGAATATTTTGAACAGGTAAGACAATCCCTTTTATTATTGAACTTGTATTTTGTTACTGATAAAAGAGTAACTGATAATAAAATAATCTAGAGACAATGAATTTTAGAAAAACCACTGCTTTCTAAAATCACTGTGCATATAACTTTCCATTTTACTCACAGAGAGTACCACAAGATTTTGGAGCAGACTATGAAGAAGCTTTACAACTACAGGATGAGGACAGAGCTATACTTGTGCCAACAGTTTCTGATCCATTTGAGTCTGACCACCAAGTATCTTTATTTGAAATCAAGTCAGCTGAACTGGAGGAGCAGTGCAAAGATAATCCTTTTTGGGATACAAAATACTACACTTTACTGCGTGAAACATTACAATCCATCATCAATGAGTGAGGTGCTGTGTAGGCCAAACATTTCCTTACATAAAATGTATCTAGTCTACTAGATAGGAGAGAACATGGACAAAATGGTATGCATTGCAGATATCTGTATTGTAGTAATAACAAGGCAGCAATTTAAGCTTTGTCAAGCCTTAAATTATTCTTGAAAGTTAAAAATAATACGCAAGTTTTCTTTTCATAATGATTTATTTGTAATATTAAACAACATTTACCTGCATAATTATCAACAATTTCTAATTATGTGACACAGAGAGCTGAACCTACTATGGGACATTACAGGGAAATCTCAATGACTGTTTTATGTAATTTCATTTAATGGCCACTTGAAAGTTACTAGGCAAATGACTCGTTAGGCCTGAATTAGGTTATTGATTACCAAAGGGACATACTGATCACCATACATACAGTACCATCATATAGCACTCTATAGAACTGCCTTGCTTACAAAACGGAAGAACAATCAGTGATTCTCCAACACAAGCTGCAGTTTTTAGTTAGTACCATAAGTAACATGGTTTTCCCTTGACTGTCATCAGTGTCCAAAATAACTTTCATGCAATGTAATAATGCTTAACAGCATAATGACAATGTTTAATAATAAAATAAAAGTATCATGGATATACAATAATTGTGACATTAGAGGCCTTCAAGGCCATGGAAGTTACGAGTCACACTTTCAAAATGACAAAAAGTAAACGATAACTGTAATGAAATGATTTTCATTCCATTTTCAGCACCTTTTTTACATTTTACAAAAAAATCAATTTTCTGTCATTTTTAAGTAATCAAGTAAAAACATTGTTGACATAAAAATATCAATAGAACAATTAAAATGTCCAATTTGCTCCATTCTGAGATTCTGAACATTGTATCTGACAAACTGTAAAGATTTGAGTTTTTTCCAATTTTTGACACTTTATTACAAAATACACGATTTACCATCATTTTTAAACAATCAACTAACAATATTGTTAAGATGCAGAAGATTTTAAAAGAACAACTTTACATATCTTATTAGTTCAAAAATGAGACTGTTATCATGCATGAAAATTTAATTTGAGGAAAAAAAAAAACAAACAAAAAAGGCACTTCACCAAAACTTAACTGATTGGCTTATTTTCCAAACTCAATCTGTATTTCAGTAACAATGATCACTTGTGAATTTCAAGACAATTGGCTAATCTATTTTCCTCAAAATGTGTTATAAGTGTTGCATATATGCTGAAACAAGCAGTGAGTGATTAAATCTGACTAACTATAAAATTTATTTCCATTTTTGACACTTTATTACACAATAACAGGTTTACCATCATTTTTTATAAACATGCCTTTAAATTGACAGTTGAACTTTAAGACTTAACTATTTTTTTAGGAAACACCAAAATAATCGCTCATAAAACATTCATCATACATTTCCATTATGGCTTGCAAATTGTTGGGAAGGTCTGTAGGTAAGTATAAGACATTGATACAGGTTCGAGAGGTTGGTAAGTTTTGCAGTGAAAACTCAATCCTAGGCTCTTTTACAAAACCCAATAAAGGAACTGTTTGTGATCCTGTCACAAATGCCAGAATGTTCTCAAGGAAGACAGTGCGTTCATCTTGGGTTTTCCTACGACCAGCTGAAATAAAAAAGATTAGTCAATTACCAGATTTTTTTTTCATGGATTACACACAACACTTGTGACAATTACGCCACAAGTTTTCATTAAAAAGTAGGAAAAGTAGTTGGTCTGGGAATCCTGATAAATTGGTCTACGAATCTTACTAACAATCAATATTCATCTATTTGGCAAGAGGCTCACCAGAAACATCGCTTAAGTAGCGGAGGAAACTTCTGTAGGCTGCTTCCTCCAATCTACGTTTGTTAGAACCATCTTCTGAGAAATTTGGTTTTAACAGCTTTGTTATCTCTCGATATGTAAGGGGAGAAACGGACGACTTGATGAATACCATTTGTAGACATGGTTTTTTCCTTATCAGCTGAATATGTAAATGAAACAGAAATTATAATTACGTAGTAAATTGATTTAAGATTTTAGCAATATATTTATTCTAACTAGTTATGTCTTTATGATCTTTATGTATATTGCAGTGATATTTGTTTTAACTGGACAGCAAAGCTGACAAATATACAGACACCATACAGTAATCAAACAAGCCAAGCTGAAAAATGTTCAAACATAATAGAGAAAAGTGCATCATATAATGTTTAAGCCTACTTTGAAGTAATGTTACATAATGATTTAAAAGAGCATAATCCTCTTACATTATGTACAATCTAAGTCAAAATTAAATTTTGTCTTCTTCTTCATTGTCAGATTAACTTCTTATTATTCAGTCTAGACAAGAGATAAATGGACATGCAAAAGTTAATCCGTATGGGCCCGGTAGTTCCTGAAAAAACCTGGCTAGTTTGTTGTGCCAGAAGGACAGACAGACAACGGAGAGGGCTATATGTACATATATAAAAATACTTTTGGTTGGGATGACAGATCCCAGTACATGTGATAGCACAAGGTATTTTGGTATCTGATTTTGCCTACCTCTAGGATTCCTGTTGCAGCAAGACCTCTTACAAACTCTTCTTCGTCTTTACTTTCTGGATCACACGTCCCTAAAATCTTCTGTACAAGTTTACTGGAGAGAAATGCTGGTAAAGGTCCATGCTGAAGAATACTTAATGCTGAAATCAAATAAAATTGGCTTAGGTGAGTGAATGTTGTTATTCATCCAGTAGTGTTATAATGAAGAATATATAACTTGAAATGCAACTAGACCGATGTTGCAAATTCTACAAGAGACCTTTAACTAGGTTAATGACCCAGATTCCTAGACATCAGATCACATCTGGGCCATTTACCTAGTGGAAGGTCTCTGGCAGAGATCACAACATCAGTCTAGTTGCATTGTAAGTGATTTCCGGTATTAGATTTACACATTTTTACAATATAAGCCTAGTTTCTTAAAGGTAATAACTTATTAAATCTACATGCATTTGAAAAATACAGACTTTAATGATCAATCAACCTACCAAAAAGTATCCCAGCACCAAGGTAATGATTTTTACGTTGATGGTAAGGATTTCCAACAAGTAAAACTTTACCATCTTCACCGTCTTCAAATAATCTATCTTTTATGGTGTGCAACATTGAGGTCAAGAACTGTTTTCTAGGACCTCCAAGGTCAACTGCTTCCTCCCCATAATATACTATCTCCAATGGCAGGCGATAGTTGACAGTTGAATCTGTGAGGATTTCCATACCATCTTCAAAGATAGTAGAGCGAGAAACGTGGACTAATGTTGTGTCTCCTTCACAGAACTCGTCTTCCTGCTCAACATCAATAGGGCGACCCATTAAATATTTCTTGGTGAAGGCCCTGAGAATTGTGACTGGGTCATCGCAAGATTCCCTGTTAAAATAATAAACAATTTTGGACTTTGTTATTTCATTACATGAACAGTACGGTAGACAACATGATAAATAGACTTCACAAAAAATTTGAGGAGGGACTTCAATTTGCTACACTTACATTTCAGCCACCGTTTCTCTTACACAGAGTGAAATGGTGCCTTTGCCTAAGGGTTCCTCTTCCTGTTGTGTCTCCAAGTTTGAAATGGGATCAGTAGGTCCCTCAATGGAAGGAGAACTTGTTGGTGGGAATGATCTAGGCAAATTGTCGTCACTTGCAGCAGTGTCATCACTTGCAGTTGCTCTAATTTCTGTTGGCTGTGTGCTGTGAAGAAATCAGTTTTTAGATACCTTATTAGTTTTGCAAGAATCTACATGTATTCAGCACAGGGCTCAAATATCTGCGCATCGTAAAAACTTGGGAAGGTTCATTTTAGTTAATGCATATGGGAAAATCCAATTGCATGGGCGAAACTAGCCAAAATGACATTTTTAAATTTTTACTTTCGTGTTTTGGCCAACAGTTTTACTAGCTCGAAAGCGAGGCAATGGCCATAATCTATAGGAGATATTAAAAGCCTCATAAAAGTTGAAATTTTATTACAAAATTTGTTGCATGCGCTAAATCAAAATACTTATTGGTTATTATTGAGTCTTCAGTGATAATTAATATAATAGCAAATTATAAAATAGTCCATTTGCCATGGTCCATTAATAACGTTTATTGATAATTTGTAGTAGTTATAGACTAAAGCATGAATATTAACTTGTTTTAATATCGAGGTGTGCCGTTCTGTGCCTGTGCTCTGTATTCACTTTTCAAGATTTCAGCAAACAACCTAGAGCAGGTTTATTAAGAGTCATGCAAGTGTTGACACACAAAAAGCATTTAGGCAAGTTAAGGATACAAAAGATAAAGAAAATGCACAGGCTTCATCACAGTTAAGGGACTGGTCATTATTTAAGTCGGATGGGTGTGGAGAAGAAAGGCCTCAGAGCCTTTCTTTTATGGTGTGCAACATTGAGGTCAAGAACTGTTTTCTAGGACCTCCAAGGTCAACTGCTTCCTCCACATAATATACTATCTCCAATGGCAGGCGATAGTTGACAGTTGAATCTGTGAGGATTTCCATACCATCTTCAAAGATAGTAGAGCGAAATTTTGAGAATCCCCCCCGTAAACATTGAATTTTTTCAGGACCCACCCCACCCTTTTTAGCATTGCTTAAACAATTCACACATCCCCCATTTAAAATGTCAAGACCCCCCTAATCTTTCGCTTCAATATTTCAGCCCCCACTTTTCTCCCACCTCCTCCCCGACTTAAATAATGACTGGTCGAATGAAGCAATCTACAAAAAAAAAAAAAAAAACTTCCTGCAAGTGCTGAGAATATCTTCCACCAGGTAATAGTTTATACAATCAACCACCACACACAATAAATCAAAGACTATAAATCTACTGTAAATACCTCTTTCATTTAGAATTCTGAAATATGGAAATGGAAATATAAAATAAATAATAAAAAAATTATTTTGCTTTCTTACTCAATTTTTAATAGTTCATTTATTATCAATTGATCACTTTCTATATAGTAATTCTCAGTTATACAATAAGTTTTCACATGAAATAACAACATTTCACATAACTTATGAGAACATTTAAAATAAAAGAATGAGTTCGTGCAGCAAGTTTTATTACCTTTCATCCTCTGTATCCTCATCTGGAATAATTGTTGTCCTGTTGGTGTTGAAGTTTACAGCCTCGAGCTCATCATCACTGCTCTCGTCTGATTCTTGGCAATCATTCTAAATAGATGGACATTTATTTTCACATCTCGTTATTTTACACTCTTCTATCATGAATCATGAAATAAATGAAGTCTTTGGCAGAAAATGTTCTAAATTCAAATGAACTTGAGCAGGCTCAAACTTACTTCAATATGTCTACGGAGATCTGTAACTTTTACCAATCTATGACAGCTCAGGCAAGTGTCATATTCTACTACTTCATCATCAGGTTCCTTCAGTGTGATGTTTCTCTGGATTGGTCGAATATAAATGCGACCAGATGTAACAATTTTCAGCATATCGCACTCGCAGAATCCGGACGAAAAAACTTCAAGCTTGGTCCTGGAACCATCAGCAGCTTTCAGCAGCTCAATGCTGCCGATTCCAGCTAGTTGCCTAAATGTGCTGAATAAGATAATAATAAAAGTTTCTAAATGACTGTACATTTCATCACATAAGGTGCACTTCTGACTATTCAATCTTAGTTGAACCAATGAACTGTAAGGTAGAGCTCTATAAATTTATTTAATCAGTACAGGTACGCCAAATGCTAGTTAGTGACTAAGCCTATGAAGGGCCACCTACATAAAAAGTAACTGAAATGTTATAACATACATTTCATAACAAAGTACAAAATGAGATTTGGTGGTTGGTTGATATGATAATGAAATTAGCCTTTTGATTTAAACTGAAATATTTGTGAAATATTCTTACGTTAACAATACTTCTTGCAAATCATCCTTTGATCCACCACATGGAAGCTTAACTTTTTCTTTCCAGAGGTGGTTTTTTATCAGTCTTGTCCGATATTCTCCTGTTGGACTATAATCCACATTGGGTTCATTGAGTACAATAATCGTTTTTGAGAATGTTTTCCCTTTTTCTGAAATAAAAAAAAAAAAATATATATATATATATATATATATATATATATATATATATATATATATATATATATATATATATATATATATATATACTGGTACTTCCAGTTGGGAATAAAAGTGTGCACTCAACTTAATAAACCTCCAAAATGAGTAATACATTATTCATATTTTCTTACCTGACTTGCACAGCTCTTCATGTGGATTGGGCCGTCTACGCCTCCTTCTTTGTTGTATTTGTTGTCTTGACAGCCCTCGTACTGGTGCAAATTGCTGCTGCTGCTGATCACCCTACAAAAAGTTGGCAGGTTCATTAATAAGGAAAGACTGCAAGCTTTAACATTTTGAAACGATTGACAAAATTTTAGCCCCATTCACCACTCTACTCACATAATCGCTATGCGCATGCGCGAGAAATGCATTATGGGGAAATGTCCAAGAGCGCCAACAGTTTAGTATAGGGTCACATGACCAACGTGACACAAAAAGGGCGCCAAAACCATCTATTCATAAATATATTCATTATATCTATTAATATACTTTAGCAACTTATATCAAGGTACATTTATATTTACATGTGAATACATGTACCCTATTACAAAACAAGCTTTCTTAATTCAGCGGACATGACTGATTGATAGAAATTGGCTTACTCCCACCTGAGTTTCAGTCTGAATCCGTCTTTGACGTTGATCATTTACACCGCGAGAAGTTCCAAAGAGAGCTCGGTGCTCGGCGATTACGTCACTTGCCGGACTGGTACTGGATGTAGTGGGTGTATTGCTGTCGCTACTGGCCACACGCTGCCAGAGCTCGTTGGCCCTGGACAGCAGCATGCCAATCTCATTTCTTATGTCTGAGTCCTCCATGTTTCTCGACTAATCAAACATGCAGCTCAAGTGTCAAGGTCGGAGTACCGTAAATGCTTTATTCACTGTATCGTATGCATCTACATGGGTAGATGTTATTGACAAAAGGAATGTACTTATAAATAAGTATGAATTATATTTTATTTCGGTATAGTAAAAATACTTGTAAGAAAAAATATGAAATGTTAAAGTATGTCAAAATACGACATAAAGTGACAGCAATGCCCTCTATGTGTTGTTGTGCTATGACGTCAGCACTTTAACCGCCGGCCCGTGTCAGCAGTGACCTCTAGCGTTAGATGCTGACTTGCCTGTTTTGAGAAGTTGGCTGTAAGATTATGAGTTGGCTGTTAGATTTTTTAACGCTGTTAAATTTTATGAGTTGGCTATTAGATTTTTTCACACTGTTAAATTTTATGAGTTGGCTATTAGATTATTTTGACCACTGTTAGATTTCTTGTAGGCTGTTAGAATGTCATTTGGCTATTAAATTGCAAGTCTGATTTTTTGCGTGGATGGCGTTCCATAAAAATCGAGGATGAATTAGGTAAGACTATCATCTGTGTAATTTGGGGAATAGACTTTAAATAAATTACTGAAATAAGTTTAATTATGGCAGGCCGCGTAATGTTGACAACGATCAGCAACGAATTGTTCGATTGTCTGGCAGTGTCTGACTACTGTCTAGACAGATTTAGCAGATTTTTTTACCGNATAGTAATCGAGGATGAATTAGGTAAGACTATCATCTGTGTAATTTGGGGAATAGACTTTAAATAAATTACTGAAATAAGTTTAATTATGGCAGGCCGCGTAATGTTGACAACGATCAGCAACGAATTGTTCGATTGTCTGGCAGTGTCTGACTACTGTCTAGACGGATTTAGCAGATTTTTTTACCGTTTAACACCTCTGTGTGTATCTTGCTATCCTATTATTATGTCCAGTCTGTTAGTTTGTATCGTCATGGTTTATGTTCAGCACGTATGTAGTAACAGTAACGCTACAACGTACTACAGTACCCAAGTACGCATTATGTAATTTTATGGATGTGTATATATTTTAAAATTGGGGACTGATGACGTTAAGAGCTCCATCATTCTTGGACCCAGAACTATATCCGTATTCAAGTAAATTACCACCGCCATTCAACTGTTGTGTAGCTGCCAGTGATAGTCAGTTTTTCTCCTCTCCTGTGGCCATTCTACCCCCCCCCCCCACACACACACTCCCACCCTCCTCTTCTAAAATGGTGTGTTGTCAAGCCATAAAGTTAAATTTTCCTTTGTTAGTTCTGCCTCACTCCTGTTGTTGATAATTACATTTCCAATTTTAAAATCACATGTCTGTTCAGAATTAGCCCTACTCCCCCCCCCCCACCTCAATTCCAACAAGAATTTTCAACAGGGTTGTATTTCTTGAAATCGTGGTTAACCCTAAAGTGAGCTAATTGAATTAATAGCAGTCAAACCTAATGAGGTAAGGTAATGCTTTTGAAGCATTATGTTGAATCCATTGAATAAGAAATGAATCCAATTAGAAGCCAGAGGAGGTTGAGCCTACAGGACTTGGATCATAACAGCATGCCTGCATTGTTTTGCATTTTTCACTATTATGCACTTCCACTTATGTAATTGGTGGTTGAGCCTGTGCTCTCAGAGTTGAAGATTCACTTTATAATAATAAAATTAACAATCTAAAGTTGGCTTGCATTCACACAGAGAGAGAGCCCTAGAGAGAGAGAGAGAGAGAGAGAGAGAGAGAGAGAGAGAGGAGTTATATAGCCAACAGTTTGTATTAGTAAGTATTGGCGGTTATACTTTGTCATAAAGATAATTAGATATATGTGATAGAGAACATACGCTGACATTATTTTAGTGTCTAAGAAAAGCTTGTATTGTATAAGAGTAAAACAAGACACTTCCCTTTTCTTCCCAATTATGCCTTGTAACCGATAGATCTAACATAAATACTAAAGTTGGAGGTAAGCTGAAAAACTTTTTTTTTGCCAGATAAAGGACATCAGAATGTAATGAAAAAAACATCTTAATCCTTGATTTGGGAAATTTGTACTAGTATACTGACTACTACTATTTAAATCAAACATGGTCTAACATAAAAAGTTCAGACAAATCAGATGCCATTCCATTTGTGCAATTGATAAAATGTAGAATACAGAAAGGTTTTTTCCTTGAAATTTATTTTTAAAAAGTATGAACAGAAGTGATCAGTATAAGAAACAGGATTTTGTTCCATTTTTTTTATTTTTTGAAAATTTGGGGACAAAAGGAGGTTGTCCTTTTTTCAGATTTTCCTGTTTCTGTTCCTTCTCTCTAGTTCCCCACAACAGTTGAAAATAGTTTTGCAATTGTGTTTCTGATCTCAACTAACACATTTCATCTGTTTGCCCTGTATGTTTTATGTGGTAGATTGCATTATTTGTTTATAGTTTTCTATCAACATCTTTATAATTTTTGTTTGTATCTTTTATGACCAGTCTGTTACTTCTTTTAACTCCTTGAGTACATACTATGAAATAAAATGTAAAACTATCACTCACTGTCACTCTTATGTAAAAACACGAATCTTAAATAGTACTAGTAGGTATTATAATGATTGACAAATATACTAGAAGAAAGGAAAACAAAGCCATTACACATGATATTTATAGAACAGTTAAAAGTCTATGCAACTGTTTTAGTATAGCTGATAGGATCAGTTAAGCAATGTTTTGTTTTAGACCAATAGACATTTGAATGATCCTGCCCTCAATTTACCAACAACAAATGATTGTTTGCCAGTTTAGTTCAACAAATTATAGTATGCAGTTTACCCTGATACTTTTCCCAGAGACAGTGCTGCAAAATAACTGAACTGAATAATTGTTACAATACATGTTACTTGATGTACAACATGACTCACCTAGCTGCAATTTGATATATAATCATTGATAAGACACCATAAACTTAAGGCCCTTTTAATTGACAGCTTACTGTAATATTTTGATACAGTGTTGTCAGCTGCCTGCCTTTCTTAGTTGTTTTTGGTTTCGTTATTTGTTTGATACGATGACAGAAGTGTGGTAGTTGTTTATAAATATTGAGGACTTCATTCATTCCAACATTTCAATTCAATTTTTTTTTCAAATATTTAAAAAAAAAAGAAAACTATAGTCTCTCTCTGACTTCCATCCAACTTACAGTGAATTATATGTTTCAGATAATATCAGTTATAATAATGAAATTTAATAACTGCAATGCCTTCAAGTTCAGTGAGTTATTACCGTATTAGCGCCAGTTGCATAAAATACTATGGTTGGCTTGCATCTGTGTGGAAGCATTAGAATTTATGATATTTGAAGTGCTAGGAAAGGAATTAGTTTTCACTTTTACAATGTTTGCACTTACAAATAAATAAATTATGTAGGAAGATTTGTGGAAGTATATTTGCTGGGTTACACGTGCACACAAGAAAATTAATGGCATTTCGTAAAAGAGGGAAGTTATATTATTGTTTAAATTCTAATTTTTTTAAGAAGGCAAGGTGCCAGAAGTTGATGTAATGTGATTCAAAATAAATTTTTTTTCCAGTTCAAACACAATTTTTTTTTCAGGGACAAAACATTCCCAATAAATATTTTTAATCACCGAAAGACAGCATTTGCGGTACCTATAATATTTAAAACACAAGTAACATTTTTCAAGACATAAATTTGCACTTTTGATGAGAAACTTTATTTGGAAAATAATGTAGAAAAATTCTCATAATGACAGTTGTATATGTACATACTCAAACAATCAATTTCAAATGAAAACAGCATTTTTCACGTGTGAATTATTTTTCCAGAACATGGAAAGGTGCAGCAGCGAGGGTTTGATGGAGGTGGAATTTTGTTTTATCTGACAAGGTCTGTAGCTGGACAGGTGGCAAGGTCAGGCTAAAAGGTGTGACATTTGCCTGGCCTTTCAAGGTCTATTTTAGAAGGTAAGTTTGAAAGATTTATCCTTAAAATCAAAGATAATTATTTATCAAATTTAAACAACAAGATTTCTAAAGGACATAAGAAATGTTGTTTGAAATGTCCTGAAAACTGCAAGATATCAGAAAGTGCATTTTTCAATGATCTAAAAATAATTTAATATTGAAGTAGTGATATACATTGGAGTGAGTGTGGTGTTGAGAATTTCTTAGGTAAAACTTATAGCAGGGCAGTTGTTAAAGGTCATGAATTCACTGGTATCCATGCACATGTAGTCAGACTGAGTGTCCAGGTGGCAAATTTTCAATCTCCTCTCTCCCTACACACACACACACACATGCACACACACGCACAGTATCATACACACACACACACACACACACACACACACACACACACACACACACACTGTGATATTTGTCTTGAAACTGTTAAAAAGAGTATGGCAATACTACCAGTGAAGAAGAATTTTATAATATAAAACAAATCTGTGAAACCACCTGGAATTTGCTACTTTTATGTGCTTCAGGGTTTTAATATGTAGAAAAGTTGCAGATGCAAAACTAGTGGAAGATGTTTGTCAAACAAACATTTGAAGATGGGTGCTCTAGGCTTGTTTTAAAAATAATGATTGTTATTGAAAAATAAATAAACTGTCGAACACAAGCCAGACAGAACTTTAAGGTAACCAATTCCATAGTTGCTGCCCCAATTTAACATTTTCCTCTTTGTCAGTGAAAACATTAACTCATTTATAAGCAATTGGCATTATTATGAACTCTCTTGGTCTTAACTGGCTGGGATAAAAGATACTGTTTGATGAAGGGATTGGGAGAGAGAGGTTTTTACGGAGGGAAGGAAAAAACACCATGGAATAGCTACAGATCTTCAAATTTAATCTACTTAATGGATAAATCACCATCATTTTGAAATGCCAATAGGCGGAGATTTATATTGTCAGCTTAGTTTGATTTAAGGTGAAATAGTTTACAAACTTATCATCATTATTTATTTTACGAGGTTTAATTCATTTCTGGTTGTTTTTATACAAAGTTAACAAAGTTATTTTAAAAATCACTCACAGCCCACTGATACTTAAATCATTGCAACAAGTATTGGAATGGGAACTGGGATTATTTCTTGAGTGATTATGACTGTTCATGTTACATTTACATTTAGACTTATATATGTCATCCAAAACATCAAATGGAATTAGAAACTTGACAATACAGGGGTAATCTCAGCACACTAGTACATGTATTGTTTAATCTTTGCAACATTTTGTCTGCATTTTAGATTATGGATAGAAGGGCAAAACAGTGAAATCAGTTTTTGAACTGATTAAAAGTTGGTTTGTTCATTTTACGTAAAATACCTTCTCCCTTCCCCCCCCCCCCAAAAAAAAGAGAAATTCTCCACACCAGCCAGAGGCAAAACCATATAATTTTCCTGATATCTGCAATAATTACAAAAATTATGTTGTTTTATTAACAGAGCCAAAACCATAATAATTTTCTCAATACATCAGAAATAATTCTGAAAAATTATTTTGCTACATTAACACAGCCAAAACCATGATACTTTTCTGGATGCATCAGAAATAATTCAGCAAATTTTTGTTGTTATATTTACAGAGCCAAACCAGCATCAGAGAGAGCATGAAAAATTCCAGCAACCCCCTATGACAGAAAAATCCCCACCACTCAAAATTCATTACAAGGGCTCCTTAGTTTAACTGGCTAAATGGAGTCTGAACAAAATAACTCACATTCCTGCATTAGGCCTGACAGCCCAGTAGAAGTGGATTTAACTCCCAAATTACCCAATTTCAGAGAAGCAAATTATGAGCACTCACAATCACATAACTTTAGCACACAGTCACGAGAGGAAGGAACTCAACCTAAGGAGTGTTGCCATGGCGACCCAGACTGTGGACGTATCAAAAAAGAGCAGTTATTAAAAAAATCATCATCGCCAGAAGGCTTCGATGTCTGTTTAGACTCCCACACTTGTTTTAATGCACCTGCGAGTATTGTTGATACGGGGATAAGTGAGCACAGAGATATTTCCACCCTAGCTAAGAATAACCCGAGCACATGTAACCAGAAAGAGAAAGGGGAGAGGAAAAACTCCAGAGCCACAATTTCTGACTCCCAGAGAGGAGGTGAACGAGAAAAGAAGACAGATTATAATTCAATATCTCCCTCATTGGGCTTCGGCTCATGTAAAAACCATTTAAGTGAAGACAAACAGAATACAGAATCTAAGTTTGTGTTTTCAGAGCCTCAAAACACCAGTGGTAGTGGCAATAATTATTCCGATTTGAAAGCTAAGAGCTATGACTCACTGTTGAGAGAGTGCCACTCATCCAACAATGATGTTTATAAAAACAAATTTGGTGAATATGATGAGAAAGAGAAAATTGGAGCAGTAGGTTTATCTTCTCAGCATAAACAGGATTTTTCACATAGTGGAAAGCAGAATGAATACGAATTTGACCAAGCTGCAACTCTATCACTTCAACTGAATGAGGTGAACCATTTTAGCAGTGAAGATTTCAGTCGAGATTGGCATTCTGCATCACATTCCAATGACACAACTGAATTGGTTTTGGTGGAGTCTAGAGTTACAACACACAGCACAATAGGAGAGACTTATAATCCCGACTTTGGCACAGTAACAGCCTCTGTAAAAGCCAGCAAGAATCATAAGTCTTCAAGTTCTTCATTGAGAAACCCTGTTGAAATCAATGCTGTTGAGGAGAAAGGTAACTCGGTGGAAAGGACTGTAAAGTCTATTGATGGCCAAGAGAAGGAGAGAAGAGAAACTTTAATAATTAATTCTGCAGATACCACTGGAGGTCTAGAGGAGGCAGAAGGTTTCCTGAGTGACAGTGAATTTTTCACCACAGCAAACGAGAGCACATTCCTCCTGTTGGATCACTTCACATCAACACACCCGGCATCAGATCATAAACAAAAACAACATCTAATTGAGACTGATGTCCATACAAGTCCCAGGCCTGAAAATCACAACAAGAGCAGTATTAATATCCATATCAGAGGTCAGAGGGCACATGCTGATGAAGTCATAAGTATCCACAAGAAAGGTCAGAGGGCACCAGTAGAGGGAAACCTCCAGAGTATTTCTACACAGAGGGCAGAGAGAGAAGACACATTGCCAACCACAGGGAAAGATCAGCTGGTGAAGTCGAGGAAAAGTGAATTTTCTTCCAGGAAGTATAAAATAGATGGTGGTGATAATAATTACAGCACCACTAATGATGATAATGGTGATGGCAGTACAAGGTTATTTGCCCTAGGGTCAGAAGACATCATTTTTGCTGAGCAGGAGAGTCATTTCCCAAACGAGGGTCATCATTTTCTGAAAAAGAACCCTATATTCCCAGGTGGAGTTTCAGCATCAGGGCAACAATTAGAGAAGGACAGAAGAAAAGAGGGAGGAGTTGTAAGCGAGGGGAGTGCATGTGTAGGACAAGATGATAATCACCACATTGTAAAATCACAGGAATTCAACAGCAGTCCTGCCATTATCCCCCTCCTATGCAAAGCAACGACCTTAATTCCAGCTCAATCTCTTAGTGATTATAATAATTACAACAGCAACAACACGCAACAACAGCCTTGGAGGCAAGTTACGAGTGATTATTATTACACCGCGACCCAGGAGTCCCCAGCTGAGGGAAGAAACATTACCAGTCCTACATCAAACTGGGTTTGTCTTAGTGCTACAACTTCTACCAGTGATTTATTGCCCAGATTGAATAGGGGCACTGTGGGCTTCACAGGAGAGGAAAAGAACAGTGTAGAAAGTACAGAAGACAGAAAGCAGAGCACTGTTAAAACACAAAACGGTGATGATGATGTTGTAGTACATGATACAGAGAGAAAACTGAGACGAAATAGCAGTGAGAGTTGTACAACAGGCCAAGACCAACGTGAGAAAAAAAGAGGTAGGGGAAATTTTGGAAAGTGTGTACCCAATGAACTGACAACAAAGAAGGAAGAGCAGTTGAATGGTGAGGATAGAGGTGCCGAAGAAGAAAACTGTAGAAAAAGCACACACAATTATTCAGAGAAGTGCACCCAGTTTTCAGTTGAGAAACAGACTGGTACTGTTAATGCTAATGTGAATGTTGCAAGCATAGGAAAACAAAGTGCTGTATATCTGAATAATGAGCCTCTCAATACAGCTGATGTTCAGAGCAAATGCATTCCTGAGGCTAATGGCCATAATGATGACTTTGTTGATGCCCCAGGCTCTCTGGTCATTGTAGACAAGAATTACAGTGACCATTGGTCATCTCCATTGTTGGATATTAGTAACAGTTCCAGCAACTACAGGTATATTGATGATGGGAAGTTACTACCAGAGAAACAAGGTAAAAGTGACAAAGTTTTTTCAGATGGGATTAGAGAGAGCGCAGACTCTTTGAATGAGGATAAAAAGAAAAATAAAAAGGAAAAAGAGAAGTCTGTGAGAGACAGTGTCGCATCAGTCTGTGAGAAGAAAAGTGAAAAGGATCACAGTCAGTTACCCAGTGTAGTGGACACTGAGGGGACATTGACCGAGTTAAGAGATAGCAGCACCCCCATCGCAGACACATTGAAAACACCTGTTCGGGGGCACTCCCAAGTAGACCGGGTTACTAACCAAAATATTGACTCAGATCAGGCTGATTACCAGGCTACATCTTTGAGAAGAAGTGATAGTATTAATACTATTGCTGATCAGGTTGTAGATACAGGTGAATTGAGCTCAATTCAGGTGCGTGATCCAAAGGATGTTGGAGCTGTACCTATTACTGTGTTGAGTTCAACACAGGTGTCTGAGCCCCAGGGTAATCAGAGTGGGAGAAAAAAGAACCCCCAGAGACAGAGAATTGTCACTTCTTCTACTGGGAAAAGGATTTTGAATCAGAATTTTAGCCCTGCTAGCAAGAAAACCAGAAGGGAGAAAAAGAATCAGATTTTAGCAGAGAATTTTAGCCGGTCTTTTACAAGGGAAAGTGAGATTTCGAAAGAGGATTTTAACTCCAGAGAAGAGGAAACTGATGTAGGAAATCAGATCAGGATTTTAACAGGATATTTTAAAGAAACTGGTGTTAAAACCAAAACTGGAAAGAGAAAGAGCCTTTTAACAAACCCTAGTCCTCAGAGGGAGAAAATTACAGGTGGACAAGGGAGTAAAAATTTAACACCTGGTTATAGTCCAGTCAGCACAAAAACTGATTCAAGGAAAAATACTTCTAGGGAAAGAAGTAGAATTTTAACACAACTGCAATCAACTCCCACTTTCAAAGGAAAACATTCCTTTAACGAGGTGGCCCTGAAAAGGTCAAGTGACACTTCAAAGACAAATCCAACCTCAAAGAAACAGGGGAGGGATTCCGAAGCAAGCCAGAGTGATTTAAACCCCAGTAAAAAGTTCAAGGGAGGTGTTACAAGTGAAGCGGGAGACCAGAATAAACAAACTTTCCCTGTAACAGATGGTGATACGCTAAACCCCTCATTACAAGTCAACTGCAGTTTGGAAAAGAATTCCACACAAAGTGCTGATATATCAGGTTGTAGTGAAACTTCAGACATTACTAAAGTGTTTAAGAAAAGTAGCACAACTGTATTTAAAGCCAGTCACAACAGTGGCTGTGGAGGTGATAAAATCAGAAAGGACACCAATTTACCAAATAGCCCTTCATTAGGCTATGAAAGCTGTGAAAGGAATGCTGCTACACTTGGTGAGGTAACAGCAACTGATGCCGTTGATGATATCTCTCATACAGCTTTACCAGAGGGAAAGGGGGCATCTAGGTCCAAGCACAGACAAATCACAGGCCTAGAGGGAAACTCAAGTGTCCTCAACACCAAAACATCCGTCACAGGGACAGAGGTCAAGACATGTGACAAATGGGAAGATCTGAAAGGTGTCACAATCGGAACTGCAGTCAATGAAGTTGTCACATTAAATGACGATTACTCCGGTGGTGGTGACAGCGATATAAATGACAGTGGTATAGATGTTATACGCAGGCATGCATATAAATGGGGGGCATTAATTTCGCCTGACAGTGACCCAGTTAAGGCTACAGTTAAGCCGACCCATGACACAGATGTTACCTTTAAGTTAACAGCCACAGGTGACGCTGGACATCCTAGTAATTTAAAGGATGTGACCAACCATTTGAGAAATTCTCCATTTGTTAGTCAGATTCCGCTTGGAGGGGGTGAAAAATCATCGCATAATGACATAGGAGGAGAAACGGGAGAAATTGAAGGGAAAAGCGTGGGCTCATGTAATATTAGTCAGAATGACAATTCACTGTATGTTAATACAAATGTAAATAGTGAAACTGTACACTACAGTGTTGATAAGTCAGACAGGAATATAGAATTCACAGGCACCCCCAGCCATCATTGGAGAAATGATTCCTTGAACACTACAGCTGAGTTGTCTGTGAACGAAAGTAGTTTGGGCTCCACGCAAAAACGCAAGCGTAAACTGAGCCGGAGAGGACTGTCCAATCTTTTTCAAAGGAGATCTAAGAAAGTGAAGCCTTGTGTGGAAGAGGCAGGGGATACAGTTGATAAGAATATTGCACCTGTAATTATAAATGCAGAAAAAAGCAAAGAGAATCGTGACCAGAAAATTCAGAAAAAAGTAGGAAGAGTGACAAGAGCTTTGCTTCCAGACCGTCTGAAAGTTACAAAACATAAGAAAACAACAATAACAACAAAAGAATCGGGCGTAAAAAAACAAGATTCATATTCAGATAAACATCCATCAAACCCACCCAGGCAAAGTCCATCAGTAAATCTTATCATCAAAGATCGAACAAATTTGCCTAGCAATGAGGATTTACGCTCTGGGGAAGGCCACCAGACGCCCAAACTCAAACTGAAGGAGAAACTCACTCAGGAGGCACTCGAAACCCCTCTAGGAGATGAAAACCCCTTCTTGGGTGTCAAAAACCAGCTGTTATCTAATCTGAAAATAAACAAAAAGGTGTCGGCGGAGCAGGAAAAGGTTATCTTACAAACCTACACGGTTAAAATGGAGAGACAGAATCCACTGCTGAGGGTCCCAAATTCCTCGTCCCCAGGGTCCCTGGGAGCCCGAGGAAATCCCCATCTCAGAAACAGTGGTAGTCAGCTCAGTAGAAACAAGGGGGGAAGTCCCATGGTCAGCCAGACTCTGCCGCTGAAACTGGCCAGCTCCAGTAAGATCAGCTCCAATAAAACCAAGAAGCAGAAGAAGCAACAGCAGGAGGGTTTAAACGCTGCGTCTCCATTGGAAAAAGGTACAGGAAAACTGATATTTGTCTACTTTTTTTTCCCTCTGTTATGTGCAGTTTTCTGATCCAGTATGCTATTTTCTATTTTTAGTGTTTTTTTTTTCCTATAGGAACTTGGTGAAAGAAACTTTTTCATTTGAATATGTATACATGTAATCTTATTTCATATTGGCACATGGGCTCAATAACTATTATTATTGCTTTTGGAAAAAATCCAATGCAAGTTTATACTGTTTTAGACTCAGTTGTGAAGCATGCTCTATACAGTGTATGATCACCATAAAAGAGACCTTCATTAGCATGTTTTCTCTTTGCTTTCACGTGGGTAGACAATTGTTTTTCTAAAGGTGGGTGGGAGGATCTTAAAATTCTCTCTGTAATTAAAAAGAAATACCTGACGTATATTTATACATTATGTATATAAATATATATATTACAGGCCAGGTAGTGGATAATAGCAGTAAGGAGGGCTCACAGGAGGAGAGAGGCTCTCGTACACCTGTTCTGGGTGTTCTATCAGCTGGTAAGGACATGGAAACCAAAGGAGGTCGCAGAAAAATCATGGGCTTGTTCGAGACAGCTGATAAGAGAAAAGTTCCACAGGCAGGTGAGACGGAGTGCGCCAAGCATATAGGTGATACGGAGCATTCAAGACTGATTCCTGATGATTTTGATGACGATCTTATAGCAGATGTGGATGGTAATTGTAATGTTACAGTGACAGGAACAGCGTGGAATTCAAGTTCAATTCCTCGGCTGAATGGATCTTGTTTGCCTACTGAAAGCACCCCGAGATTCAACCAGTCTGGTAAGACTGTTTCACATGGAGTTAGTACCCTGAATTCAAAGCTTATTTCTGTGAAGGATAAATCAGAAAAAAAAGAAAGCCTTCGGACAGACTACAGTGGATCTTACATAAAAAACAATTCTAAAACATCTTTAATGAGTGGAGATTCTAAAACAGATCTGAATGTAGGGAACAAACGGGTACTTCAAAGTCCCGATGAGCAAAACATGCTCAAATTTGTCAAGACAAATTCTGTGTCAAATGGTGCAAAAGCAAGTGAAAAAGTATCAAGTGATCTTATGGAGCATAGTGCAATGGTAACAGAATCATCCAATCATATTGAAGCTCATTCAGCCACGACACGTTCCAACCATGACAAAAATGTTCATGATGTCGAGCATACTCATGACAGTAAAGTCAATGCGAAGCAACAAAATGACAGTGTTGTAGAAGGCACTCTTTCTCAAGAGGAGACCAAGGAAATAATAATTGAGACAATTTTTCCTTCGAAAGTACGAGATTCGCCGTCTCCATCCAGAGGACAGAGAGAAGAGCCAACAGTGGAACAGGTGCCATCTGTTGTCAGAAACCCCAAAACTAGGTCAGCATCACAATTGCCAATGCACTTGGAGAAATCATTCCGAACCTCTAGCATGCGCAGCAATTTGAAAGACCAGAAATCCATTCTGCCAACACATTTGGAGAAGACGCAGAGTCAAAGCAAATTGAGAAAGACTTTGAGCAGGGCCAGCATGATGAAAAGTGCGGCAAAAATTGCCAGTAATAAGTTGAAAATGGAAAATACAAGTGAAGGACATGAAAAAGGTGATACAGATGAATCTGGAGGGCAAGTTCAAAACATACATGGCCATACAGTTCCAGTTTTAGATGCCAGTAAATTATCAAAATCTAAGCTCCAGCCCAGAGGCAGTGTACAGAAGACAAAAACTTCTGAGGAGAAATCATCTCAACTACCTGTGAAATCACCATCTTCTAAGGTCAGTCATGTGACTGACAAACAACCAATCAGACGCTCACCTTTGAGACAAGACAGTAGGGGAAGTGGAATTCAAGACAAGACAAAAGATAGGTTTGGTAGTCAGGGATCAGTGGCTTCTGACAGTTCTAATAAAGTTTCTAAGACCTTAGCAGTTTCTGGACAGAAAAGCAACAACATCGTCCCTACGTCAAATTCCAGAAGGAGCATGTCTCCCCGATCACCATCAACCTCCAGTATACCAAGGAGAAGTTTGTCACCAAAGACTACTGGATCGAAAATGTCACCAACTCGAAAACGGAATGATTCTACAGGTTCAGATAGGCGTGGCAGTACGAGTAGTTCTCTCAGCAAAGGGAATATCGAAAAAGTGAGGAGCAGTGTCCCAGATAAATCACTTGTTACCAGACAGGAAACAAAAAATACATCACCCAAGGCTAGTGATAGCAGACGAATGGCTGGAACGCCATCTGGTGGCAGGGGTGTAGGAGGCGTGACTCCCACACAGAGGACAAGACAGGCCGGAGCAAGTGGTGTCCCCAGAACGCCGCTGACGTCTGCACCACCGCCACAGAAACCAACATCTAGCAAACCCAAGACACACTGCAGTTCCAGGTTAGATATGGTTTTTATTTCTTTATTTCTTTTTTTTTGATCGGAAAATAGGATGATCTTATTTAAGATTATATGAAAAATTATATTTGGTTGCTGTTTTGAAAGTATTTTTTCCTTAGTATAATGATTAATGGATTTATCCTGACAAAGATTTTCTTAAGTCCTTTTTTAAGGATGTCATTTGAAAGTGACATGATTTATTGCTTTTCAAGTGCTTTTAGTCTAATTTTTTACCTACTTCAGCAGAAAAAAAATCCTATACAAACAGCATATTTGTCAAATGTTACATACTTCACTTTGTTTAATAGGTATTCTAACCACTTTGAAATAGATTTCACCTATTTATCATCAATTTTGTCAAAGAAAAGGTTTAGCCCAAAAAAGAGCATGCTGTCTAGAATGACTTCTAACAACCTATTTCTGAACTTTTACAAAGTATGATTCAAGAGCATGTTGAATAATGCTTATGTAGGCTTATCACTTTTGAATGGCATTGGAATTCGTTTTCCACACTTGATTATAGCAGCCGTCTATGGATCTGATTCCCAGCAGACAAAATGCAGAAAAGAATTTCTATTGATTATATTTGGGCTGCACCTAATTTTGCGTGGCTGGAAATAAATCATTTTTGGACTGTTTTTTTTTTTTTTTTCACAATCACATTGGTATTATAAGAAAAGTCTACATGCTGAGAGACTTGAATTGTCTGTGAATACAATATTCAGGAGCAAGAAAAAATTAGAGAATACAGAAAGGAAGTGTTTATCAAAGAGCTGTTTTCTAAAAATGTGTCAACCCATCTGTGCCTTTTAAGTAATAAAATATACATCCTAAATTAACTTAAATTCCTTTTTAATGGACTGTGGCTCACCAAAGTAAGTTTTAGCCAGTTAAAACATATTCTAATATGGCTTAGTTTTTTTTTTTTTTTTTTTTTTTTATAAATTTATTTATTTGTTATAATTAATATAATTATTATTGTTATTATATTTGGTTCAAAAATTCAATTTTACAGAAAAATTATTAAAATAAAACAATTTGCATGTCTTCGTCTATTTCTCCATTTCTGTCTGATGTGTTGCCACTGTCAGACTTTTACACCTTTATCAAATCAGGAAACTGGTCAGTCCACACCCCAGGGCCACAGGTGCCACACCCGTCACTAGACCTAATGCCCCCAGGGGGAGAAGATGCCAGTCTATGAAGGAAACCACCAGGGGGAGTGCGGCGGCCACGCCCAGTTTGGGGTCTGGAGGTAATAGAAGGGGAAAGGATGGGGCGCCACAGGGTGAGAGAAGAAAGTCACTTTTTCAATCAAGTGATTAAATTTTGTGCTGGAAAAAAAGTGGATAGATGTATGTGAACGATTGATGAGAGAGACAGAAATAAGACTGTATTGGATGATGGACGATTATTAAATGAAGAAAATATGGTTGGATAAATTTGATGAAAAAAATAGTTGTATTTGGCTAAAAGGATTGATTAAAGGGATAATAACTCTTCGTATGAGATCTATATTTCACAATAAAAACATTGTGAACAACTCATAGAAATATAATATATTCTATTTTACCACAAAAACGGCAGTTATAGCTATTATTCTGATATCTGAGCTTGTCTTCAGACCACCTGTCCTCCATTGATGGCTATACTCTGTTATATTCTCTTTTAAGAGATTTTAACAAAAAACCAAACCTTTTAGAAAAAAACAGAGACTAACTTTGAATGTAAAAATGGATTCATTAACCATTGGTTAGTATGGGAAAATTGTTGCTTACTCCAGGAAAATTCATTTTTGGCCAAAACAGAGAGTTATTATCCCTTTAAGTACTGTAGGTTAAAAGTAGGTCATTCCAAATAAAAGTGATCATGCTCTTTTAGAAAGCTGAACTTTTTAAAGAGCTGAAAAATGTTTGGAAGTGATTTGCCCACAGAAAATGTGTTTTTCATAAAAGTTTGATTTATCTGATATCTCTCAAAATATTCATTTCATGTTTTCTAAGCTTGGCTAGTTTTTCAATGATAATAATTCTTTACAAATCTCTCGTTTAATATTCTTTTCTTCAAATTTGTTCTTGATTAAAAAAAAAAAAATTCAATCATTTCTGTGACTATCAACTAAAACAAAATGTTTGCCCAGGTGAACCCAGCTGTGTGTATCTTGTATATTCTGGCCAGACCCTTGTTTTCCAGAACTAGTCTTGACCTTTTACTTGTTGTCCAAACTATTTGTTGGTATGGGCTGATGATAAATAGAGCTGTCTGGATAGAAAAAAGTATTTTTACATTACTGAGACAGGAAAAAAAAAAATGAAAGAAAAAGAAACTAAAATGATAATGGAGGTAGATTATGAAATTTACTTTTGGTACATCCCTCAAAAGCAGTAATGTCTTGAATGTAGAATATGAATTTTTTCCCGATAAGCATTTTTTCTGTCTCTTGTGCTCATTTTGTATAATCATTCCCTGTTCACAAAAATATTCTTGATAAAATATCTAAACAAGAGCACATGTGTTTTGTGTATCTAACCAAGACCGGTAGCCCATCACAGCCAGCTGCTGTCCCAAGCTTAATTAATGTGGTTTTTACGATAACTACTCCCTAATTTTAAACACCGCTTTTTTTTTTTTTTTTTTTTTTTTCGGATAGTGATAGATGCTTCAAATGTTGTTTCCAACTCCAATAGGCTAGTGTCGGACAAGACTTCTGCATCGTAGATGAAGTCTACATTGGTTATTGTGGTCTACCTTTCCGTTTGAAGAATGTATTTTTGTAATTTTGAGTGAATAGCACTGCAGATGAAATTCTTAGCTGGATAATTGTTTAAGTTACTCACAATTTTAAGATTTATTCAGATATGATCTCAACTTCCTATTCTTAACTTTTGTGTCCCATCTGACACCCATAAATTGGCTTTTTGGAAAAAAAAATAATCTGAAGAATATTTCCCCCAAAATGTGTTGTGAATGCCACTAAAAAGGATCAATTCATATTTCATTGAAAAAATGAAAAAAAATGTGTGCGGGCCTAATTATTTTTCCAAATTAAGGAAACAATTGTTAATCACTGTATGAATTGAGTCAAGGATTACTATATAGGTGGTTTAACCTGGTAGCAGTAAATAAATGTCAGAGAGAGAGAGAGAGATAGAGAGAGAGAGAGAGATAACAGTTTTCTTGCAGTGCCTCAAAGGTTTGTCATTCTCTGGTATGTAACACAGAAAGTTCTACCCCAACTTTAACAGTTAAGATAATGGCAAATTTCTCTGCTGAGCACATGTGATACTACACTGAAGGGTAATGGCAAGTTAATGATGTGTGTGTAGGATTACAGAACTTGAAGGTTGTGAAACAGGGTATTATGTTATGATTCAGTGAAAAATCATGCTTCAAGAATAGCGTGGATGGTTGCTTTCTTGAGCGGGCATAAGTATTTGTATAAGAATGCACAAGTGCATGTAAGGTTGGTGTGATTTGTTGCTCATCCATGCGTGTGTGTGTGTGTGTGTGTGTGTGTGTGTGTGTGTGTGTGTGTGTGTGTGTGCCAATTTTGCATGTCTTATTGTATCTTTATTGCAAAATAAAACATGTTTACCATGGCACGAGGCCAGGGAATCACCTCCCTCCCCCTTGTCTTCCCCCATTTTCCATCCTATAGGTTGGATAACAATGAAGATCTATGGCACATTCTCTTCATAAAGTGATAGTTCATCTGCACATTTTGCTCAGAGATCTGAAGATAAATGTTCCAGAGATTAGTCTGCTGACAAAGAGCATGTTCTCAGTATTTGCTCATTATTTTAGAACAAAGTTGACTAAGGATGACTTACAAATCTGGGTGGTTTGCTAGTAAAGCCTAACAGGATAAGTTGGTGTTTTAAAATTTGGATATTGGCTTATGATAAAAGTGTGTTTTGTGAGTAACCAACGCTGATACATGTGAGGAAAAAATTGGTGGAATAATGGAGAGGTTTAAAAATGGTAGATGGCTACAGATGCATTTATTTCTTCCTCATATTGTTCAAACAGATATTAAAATACTAAATACAAAAGAGAAAAAGAATACACCTACAGATTAAGGGAAAGGAGATGAAAACATTTATAGGTGAACATTTTGGGTTCCCTGGCTAACACTGAAAAAAAAAAAAGATCACTTTAAACCCTCTAGGCTCATTGTGCCATAGGATATAATTTCTTTTAGTCAATTGCAAATAGCTGGATGATTTTCTTTTCCAAATTAGACCATGTATAACATAAGCATTTGACAAAAAACTTATTTTGTCTAAACCCAGTTTATTTTCCCCTCTGTGTTGGTAACAGCCTGGTAGATTTCTGAAGCCTTCAGGTTGCTCCTGATACTTTGGGCTGCCAGGAGATAATGATGGAACTAGCACATGTTCTAGCTGTCTCACCCAGCAGGATTCCTAGCTGTCAGGTGGGAAATAACTCACCTGTGTTGCTAATATCATAAACATGTTATTTTGCTGGTTATTTTTTTTCCCTTTGTTCTGAGAAAACTGATTTTGCTAGGTTTTTGTTTCCTTGTTCTTTAAAAAGTGATCCCAGGTTTCTTAGATATGTATTCTTTGTGTTTTCTGCCTTTGATCACTTGTCCAGGTTTTCATTACTCTCTCTCTCTCTCTCTCTCTCTCTCTCTCTCTCTCTCTCTCTCTCTCTCTCTACCAGCTCAGCTTAAAAAAAAGAAAACAGCTAGTGTTTTTATTCACAATACAACCATTTAAAGAGCAGAGGTCAGAAAAACCATGGTAGTTTTCCCAGCCAAACATCAATTAAGTCATATATTAATAGTACAAGCTACTAACCTTCAGTCAAACACAGATTAAGTCATTATATTTAATAGAGAAAATAATAACACCTGACTTTCAGACTTACCCCTAAAGAAAGCGCTGACTAATTACAACAGACTTTCTCACAAGAGTTTTGCCAAAATAGAATTTAGAACACAGGTTAGAACATGCTGCTAAGTACTGTGAAAAACAATACAGAGTGCTTTTGCAAATAATCATAAGATGATGTTTTTGCGTTGTTACACATTTTCAGTTATCTCAGACAAGGCATTTAATACAAAAATGGATTTAAAATCATTTATGCTCATGTGTGTTACCAGAAATATGATTGTGTGTGTGTGTGTGTGTGTGTGTGTGTGTGTGTGTGTGTGTATGTGTGTGTGAGAGTGTGCATATGAGAGAGAGAGGGAGAGAGGGGGGTGAAGGAGCAAAGAATGGTGTATGGAGAAGAATGGCATATGGTAGAGAAAGAGAAACAATGTTTGTGTGTATGTATGTATGCATGTGTGCTTGTGTGTGTATGTGAGAGGGGAGGGGGGATAAAGATCCTGAAAGTGGTGGTGCAAATGATGATGCATTAATATGATTGAACTGCTTAACCTGCAGAGGCACATGGCATATGTGTACACGGAACCTTTCACATGGTGGTATTGCCAGTGTGTCTGCAAAACAGGGTATTTTTGCCCTGCTATGATCGTTTTGCATGTCTGCTTGCACTAATTACCGCCCACAGAGGTTTCTGAACTTGATACTGCTGACAGAGGGAGAGTCTCAAGGCACATTTACACTGTAGCTGTTTTGACTTGACTTGACTTTATGTATGATTGTGTTTATGTCATTTTATGCACATTTCAATTTAGATTTTAAACTTGGTTAATGATCTAACAACTTATAATACCTTTTGGATTGAAAGAATGATAGAATTGGAAAAATTAGTGTGTGTGTGTGTGCCCATTCATGTGCATTCATGCATTCAGTGTTTTTCAATAGAACAATTTATTTATATTATTTTATGGTTTAACAACCAGGTAGTACATGGAAACACACGTAGCCACGCACGCACACACACACACACACACACATACACACACACACACACATGAGATAGTTTTAATGACTATTTGGAAAATGTTTTCTGCCTTTATACCTATATTTTGGCAGAAATAACCAAAGGGGCCCTGGTGATGATGGAAAAGAAAAAAGAAAAAAGATATGCCCCATTAAGATATTGACTAAAGAACCTGTTTTATTGAGTACTACCAGATACTGCAGGCCCATAGGGGGAAAACAATTCTTCATTTTCATGTGAACATGGAAGGGGTTTAGTTGTCATGTACTGTGGGATGTTTAATGAGGCAAGAAGTCCATTTTTTTTGGCGTACATGCATGTTTCTTGTGTTTGTGCACGCATGTTTCTCTCATTCCTCTTCCCTTCCTTCCTCTCTTCCTCTTTCCTCTCTCTTTCTCTCTCTCTCTCTCTCTCTCTCTCTCATTTTAAATAATTGTTATATTATGCACTTTCAACAAAATATACAGCAAGTGTTAGACTCTGTGCATTATAAAATCAATCAATGGATTTATCTTGAGACTGGAATAAACCCCAGAACTTATTACATGACAAGAAATTGAACCATCTGACGCAACCCGCTGCCTCTTGTATTGATTAACTGTAAGAACAGGAGCTAATCTACAGGCCCAGACATCTTTTAAGCCGTCTGGGTAGACTCATTGTAAACACTTCCCCCCAAAAGAAAAAAAGGACAAAATTTAGATCTTGATTAAAAAATGCACACAATAATAGATAAGTACGGTTTAAATTTGCAACTGCTATATGAACAAGCTTAAGACTAAGTGCATATCAGAATCAATGGGTTTGGAAAAAGAAATTTAAAAAGGACCAGCTTCTGAGCTTTATACAAACAAAAAGAAATGGATATACATCTTCTGCAGTAGGGACAACAAGTTCCAGATACCTTGGTATTGATGCATAAGTCAATGGGCTTATAAGAAAAGAAAAACTTAAGATCATAATACACCATATAGGTAATTAATTGAGTTTTGAGATTAACTTGTCTTGTAATATTATGATGATGATGAAGAAAAATTGAATTATAAGCTAATAACAGGACCCATTTGTCTGTGTCACGTCCCTAGGGGGGCTTATACTGACAGGGTCTGTGCATTGATCAGTTTATGGTAATAATTCATAAAATTCAAACTACATCAATTTATCATTTTTCCCAAGAAGATATATTTGTATCTGAAAACAAAGATTTGAAAATTAATGTTAAAATAAATAAAATTGACTGCCTCTTCAAAAAGACATTTTACGGGGCAGCTGAGAGAAGTCTTTGTAAAAATGGAAATTATTGGAATTTGTGGTGTTTGAAATATATTGGTAATTACCTTACTGTCTGAGCACATGACACTAAACAACAGATAAATGATCAGGTATAACTTAATGTATAATATTAAGCCTTGATTTTGAATTTAATTAAAATACGTATCAGTCATTTTTTTTCTTATTCTGAAAAAATATTCTAAACCACAGAATCGTGACAATGCTGTTTAGAGTTACACTGCTTTTGATATCTTTTAATTAAGCATAAAATGATAAGATAATAAGGCAGCTTTTTTTTTTTTTTTTTTTTTTGCAGTGAAGTAGACGTCAAACAAATCCTATAAATACATGACTTAAAGTCACTCCATCTTGCTGAATTAAATTATCTAATGGAACCTGGCATCATTGTTATTGATTGATCATAAAATTATAGCTCAATTAGCAAATTCCTCCATCTTCTCTAACCGCAGGGTTCAGTGTTGTGTGAGTGTATTGGAATGTATTATGGATATATATACCATTTCCCAGGCTTAAGATAATGCCACTTCAAACATACAGATAAGCTCATCACTTTTTTTTACACGGCCCTTAGTTTGTCTGGAATCTGAGTGGTTAAAGGGATAACAACCCATCATGTGAGATTCAAAATTACCCAATAAATACATTGTAAACAACACATAGAAATATGATAAATTCCATTTTACTACCAAAATGGCGGTTATTGCAATAATTCTGAAACCTGTGCTTTCCACTTCCACTGGACCAGGAGGACCTTCATAGATGGCAATTTCCATAATAAGAGTTTGACTCCGTTCACATGAAAAATCTATTTTCTAAAAATCTATTTTCTATTCGCGGTATCTTGTGGTCACTCTGAGCGCAGCCGAGAATTAATCACAGCTTTGGAAGTAACTGGCTCGCGCTGCCAGTAATTACGCCACGGGGTATTCAGGGAACAGACCGTGATCACAAGATACTGGGAATAGAAAATAGATTTTTAGAAAATAGATTTTTCATGTGAACGAAGCCTTTATTACAAAAATCAATTGACTAGCTAAGTATTGCTGAACGGATTCATTTACCATTGTAATGTATGGGAAATATGTTGCTTACCCTGGGAAAATCCTTTTCATGGCACTTTTCCTGACAAAATGAAGAGTTATCATCCCTTAAATGTTTCAGAAAACACATGGCAATGAAATTTGTTTTGTTCTGAAATTAAAAAAAAAATGTTTGGCTTCTGTGGTTTGGACTAAGTCCAAGCTTTTGCTATTCTCATTTTGTAAAATGGGTAGCATACTTTAATTGAAGTGGATTATATCTGAATTTTTGAGAAGACTAAAATTTTGGTCTAAAATTGATGACCAACATTAAACCGAATAAAATTTTGCCATGTAGTCCCCACTGGGAATCCATAAGGGGATTATGTGGAAAGCTATCAAGTGGGTCAGCCATATATGATCTGCAGATCAGTTAGTCCTGAACAGACCCTAAAGTTCGTTCAGAATAGTGTCTTCCCTGCTTTAGTATTGAGAATGGAGATAGACTTCTAGTCTGGGGTTGTGAAAAGGACTGGGAGCAGGATCCAAGAGCTACTGGTATTTGTCCATAGCTACAGTCAATACATGTAGCCATCTCATCAAGCACATGTGTGTTATAGATTGGTCTGAGTCCTATCATTTGATTAATTATGTAATTGATATCTTTATCAGTTCACATGTGTGTGGAGAGAGAGAGAGAGAGAGAGAGAGAGAGAGAGAGAGAAATGATGTTGATTAAGAAGCTAAGGGAGAGGGAGACAGATGTTGAGAGAGAGAGGAAACTCTGAATTTGAAATTTGGAGGAGGGTTATAACCTTGAACTATTTAATTTCATCTCAAAGCCTTGTACTCATGTTGTGTATCCTTCTACTTGAAATGCTGAAGCTGAGTTTGTTATTTATATTTAATATTCTGTATTTCTTCTGTGCATTGAGTACCCAATTAAATTATTATAAACCCCCCTGTGTTTATTTCATGACCAGGTGCTTGCTTTGTACTATTTGTTAATGGATGTCCTTAACTTGAATCTCATAACATTAAAAATTAAAATTTAACAGAGTATTGAGGATCTTGAGGCATGTTCAGACAAGACTTAGAGGGGAACGGTTTTGGGTCTTTAAAATGCCACCAAATTACCAGTGATTTAAATGTCTGAAGCACGGTGGAATGTCTGCGATTCCTGTCTCTCACAGTGGTCCTTTGGTTCCCACATAATTCAATTCTCTTTAAACTGATTTTTCCAATGTAATTTAGATGTGGGACAGTTCTACGTAAAATCTTGTCTGAACTTGATCATATATGCCCGAGCTTCTGTGAAATTGGAATTTCTTTATGTTATGAGATTGAAATGTTTATAGATTGTCAATATTGGGATTTAGTTAAGTACCATCCATTAACCTAGTTTACACCTTATTGCATGTAGTACGCCTTGGGTTAAACAGATAGTACATCCAGGGGTACTTGAAAGGGAAAGAACTTTATTATTGATATGAAATTGTAAACTATATTTTTACAGTATGTTTTAACAACGAAATAAATGTCACAAAATATTATAATTTTTTTTTTCTCTCCACAGATGGAATTCCAAAACTTGGTTCAACTAAGCTGCCAAACGGGAAAGTTGACGCGGGAGGTGGTGTCGCCACCTCAGCAGAGGTGCAGAGCAATCACACGGGGGAGCTAGGTAAGGGTGAAGAGAAACCACATATATCAAAGAAATCTGGTTGAAAGTTGGTCATAACTTTAAGCCTGAGAATTTCAGTCATTTTAAGAGGAAGATAAGTCTATATTTATACCTATAATAGTATAATACTTCACATATAAATTTATAGATAATTTTTGCACTTCTCATGTTATCACACTGAGTTGACTTACGTGGAATGAATATATGAATTTTGAAACCATAAGTTTTTGAAATTAGCTTTTGATACCCCAAAAAATGTTTTGTATCTCAAACTTGGAAATCCGTGTTTTGATATTGGAATATCAGACCTGTTGAAGCTTAGGGAGTTTGATATTGTTTTTGTTACAGATCGGTTGTTTATAATTTGCACTCACAATGTTTTCTCCAGTTAATGCCATGATTTAGTTTTCATACTGATGATTTTCTTAATTTAGACATTATAATCTACACATTTTCATTAAATTTTGTGTCCAGAAGACTGATGTGTAAGACTGGGTCTTTTGGGCATAAGAAATAGGAACATATGTGGAAAAAAGAAAATGTCATTGCTATACTCTACAGAAAAAGTAGATTGATAATTGATTTGAAATCGATCTTTATGCAGTTTGACATCTTGGACTGTAAATTTACTCAAATTCTTTTAAAAATGAAAATATTATACTTTGAAGGTAATAACTTCTCAGAAAGATGAAGTCATTTGAAAATTTTGAATTTATGCTATAAACTTAAATTTGGTGACCAAGCAAAGCTTTGGAATGCCACTTTGGAATACTAAAATTCCATTTTTTTGTTGTGTAACATGCCAGGATTTCGGTTGGCAATTGAATTTTCATGATGTTTAAGTATTGCAAATTCTATTGCCAAATTTGGTTTTCCATTTATAAATGTCGTCATGACTCCGGGACAAAAGACGGGACAAAAGACAGAATGCGCTGGTATGCCATTACATTTAATCACGCGACCAAATTGACAGAGGACACAAACTGGGAGATCATTAATCGCTGGCACGTGATCAGTGTTTACTTTTTGTAGCGGGTAACTGGAAAATTTCATTTGTTAACGTTATGTCCCGATAGGGTATATTATTTTGTCAGAAGATATGATGGAAGAAAAAACTTGCCAGGGGGTAGGTCTTATTTGACAAGCATTAGATAGTCAGGGAATGAGTTCATTGTAAAAAAGCAGTTTAGATCATGTAGAAAAGAACCACAGAGAACCCGCCTATGTCTTTACAAGCAGAATAGAAAGTGCTTTGATTTTTTTCCATTTTAGTTTTCTTTTTGTATGCCACTTTCACACACTTGTTAGCACACAAACAAACAAACAAACAAACAAAAAGATTGAAATTATCAAGTTTCTGCAAGTAAATGACAAAGAATTTATTGACCAATGGTATTTCTTTTTAAGCTCATCTCAGAAAAGTGTCACAGAGATATTAAAAAAAAAACTATCAGCCACCTTAGAAACAGTAACTAACTTCTACCACATGTACAGTTGTATACTTTATTTGAAGATGATTTAATGTAGGACATACTTCAAAAGTTAAGAAGAGTCATCCTCAACAGATTTCTGGATCCTTTATTTAAGTTAAACAGATTAAAGCCATTTTATAATTGTAATTGAAAAGAGTACAATCTCTGCATAATTTTGGTTAAAATTTTAGTTTATTCTTTATAAATGAAAGGACAAGAAAGCTTAGCCAATTAAACCCACTCTTAGGCCCTATAGAAAAACCAGTCCCAGTTATAATAATATCCCTTTGAAATTCTGATTCTACAAGTTTTTAATGCATATAAGAAGAAAAGAAACACTTTTTAGAAATTCTGGAAATTTTATTTTTCTGCTAGGGCAACATTTCTATTATAAATTACTTGTAAAAGTCACAAATATGTTTAAGTCTTTTAATCCTCAAAGCAAAAGAGTAGCCTTGTATAGTAGTCCCTTCTCTTAATACTACTTAAACACCCTCGCAATAAATGTGTCAAGGGCTTCTTCTGTGCTAGGTAGCTTGAGAGCTTAATCATGAAAAATGGACAAAAACTTAAGATAGCAGTGAGCAAACCCCGGATAAATTCATAGTGTTTAATCTGGTTGCCTTAAGGCGCCTAATTGAGATATAGAATAACATAGAGATACAACATTCAATGGACCTTAGGCAGATTTGTGGGTTTTGACATTGAGTTGGTTTTTGCAATTAGGACGTCAGGGGAATTAAGTTGGATCGGAGAATAACAAAAAGTTCATGTTCAAAAACTCTTAAATCTTTGCGGTTTAACACTGAGAGACCCTTTTCCTCTTTGAAAATTGAAGATTAGTATTTAGCGATATCAAAAGGACACAATTACGTACTTCATAACTAAGTTCCCAGTTCGGCTATCTTTAAATTTGCGAGATTAAATAAATGTTGGGTGTTTTTCAATTAAAATTTAAAGGATTAGGTTTTGGGTAAGTTGAAAAGGACATAAGTTCCTAATAACAAGAGCACCTTGGATTTGTGGGGTTTTGTATTTGAGTGCATTTTAAGATTTTAAAAGTGAGGATTAACTCCTCATCAAACGAGGGCACTTGTTACGTGGAAATCAACGAGTGTTCGGATTAAGGTTTTTAGATCTTTACAGAGTGCATAATTGCCACAGGAAGAAGTAATTTTGTGAAGCAAAAGAGAGCAGAGTGTGTGTGAATGGGGGGGGGGGGGGGTTGGATTCTTTGAATGCGTGCCTCTGGTACTGAAACATGGACATAATTCTGAAACATTTTTTCTCTCAGGCAACAATACCGCAACGACGGCAACAGCAGCAGCAATGACCGCCAAAGATCAACAGCTTTCAGCAGAGCCAGTGGGTAACGTACACCAAGAAGAGAATGATCGATTAAGGAGGGGTGGAATGTCGCCCAATCAAAATATCAGCACAACAACGTCCAATGCTTCTAACCAAGCAGATCAAAGTGAGTATAGCTCTTTATTCTGTGATTGATTCTTTAACAAACGCGTCCCAGATAAGGCCCAGATAAAGGCCCAAGTCGGTGATAAGGTGATTAGTCTAGAGACTGTCAGCTCTCCTAATAGCCGAGTCAACACTTTGGGACGGGCGCTTTGAAAGTGTGAATGCCATAATGCCAGAATAACAGTATCAGTACTTGATACTGCTCTAGGATTTGATTGGCTGATTTCCACTCTTGAGGAATTTTGTCGAGGCTCCATCTCAGTGAGTGAATGGGCAGTGGGTTTTGATTGCTTAGGTACATAGTGGAAATAGAAGCACACAGATATTCACAGTGTATTTATAGTTTATACTGTGTATTTCAGGAGTCAAAGTCAAACAAGTCCAAAACCCAACAGTGGTGCTACTACGCGAGGAGAACCACGAGAATTTGCAGCGCTCATCAAGCTCTGAAGTCGGCCAATCCCCAGCCAAATCTGTCAGCTCACCGAGCCTGTCATCAGCAGCAGAGCATGATTCGAAACTTCCTCGCTTTGCGACCACTTCAGGACTGCGTGGCTCCATGCGTAGAAATGTTGGGTTTGCATCTCTCAGGCGAGACACTACGAGCCCAAGCAAAGATGGCTGCCAGGAGGTGAAGAGGAGTGGTCAAGGATCTGTAGTGACCACCACTTCAGCGGACTTATGTGATGGTAATCTGAGTACAGTCACTTCCACTTCAACAATGTCCAATAATATGGACAGCCCTTTGTGTGGTAGATCAGATGTAGTATCGACCAGCTCTTCTGCAAGGTCATCCTCATCCACAAGCGAGGCCAGTAGTGGCCGTAGTTCAACTGACCAGTGTCGGTCAACAAAGCTCAAGTATATGAGCGGCTCCTGTAGTTCTAGCCAGCTAAGCTTAAATAGTGTGTCCAGCGAGGACTATGAGGGTCAAGGTCGTAGGGGCACAGACAGTGAACTCGATGTCGCTCCCAAGCAGTACCGAGATTTGAGACATTTCTCAGGTTTGAGAAGAAATAGTGCACCCCCAGAGACCCTCAGTGATGATCTGCAGCAATTTTGTAAGAAATTGTCCTCAGAAGTTGATGGCAGTTATACCAATGCTGCCATCTATGCTAATGCTTCCAGTAATGACACTGCTTTGCCACATACTGCTTCCCCAGTTAACCAAGACACGTCTGCAAGTTCGCAGACTCAGCCAACTTCGCCTTCTTTGAAATCGGGTCTCAGCTCACCACGCTACTCCCTGATTGGCCGATCCACTTTTCCAAGGAGTTATAGGTCGGCCTCCCTTCCGTGCATCGAAGAGAGCGTCATTTTGAAACAATGGGAGGAGATGAAAGGGAAGGGTAGTGAAAAGTCCAGCAGTGTGGACACTTTGAATGAAGTCAGTAGGAGGCTTTCTCGAGAGCAGATGACGACGGCCATGTTCCAGACTGAGGACGAGGATGAGGTGTTTACTCAGGTAAGTGTCTGCATGTTTATCAATGAATTTTTTTTCTTTTTCACGCAACAGTGCTCACACCAGCTCTATTTTCTTTTTAAACCAGAGTTCCAAAATTGCCCAATCAAGTTCGATCTGTCACATGTTTGTAAAAAAAAAGTTTTAAATTCTGAATTACGAGCTTAAGTATTTGCCCAAGTCGCAGGGAACGTGTTAGGTATGTTTGTGTGAGCCTTGTGTCTTATGCATTTTTTTTAACGAAAAGAGAAATTGTATACCTTTTTTCTTTCAGGAATACTGTTCTTTGTTATTCAGTATATTAAGTGATCAGCAAAAACATTTAGAATTCATTATCATGATTTCTAGTTCAACTGATATTTCTTGGACATTTTAAAAATGTCTGCATGGTGAATTGAAGATGTTTATTACTCCCTCTATGTTTACCCTCTTGGTGTCTGTTGGATGTTTTTATTTCCATCCCTCACTTTCCAACTCCTAGCTTTAAATATGATTTATGGTTTATTCCATGCATTTCATACATATTGATCAAAAATTAAAATAATTTTAGAAAATCAAGAAATCACTTAAAAAAGAATAAAAAATTGTAATGTTATGGCTTTACTGGACAGAACTGTATGTTATTGGAACCCTGGGTGTGGCATGTATGTAAAAAATGAGTGGAGTGATTGTATGTCTGAAACTTTTCATTGTATTTTAATCTATAAAAAGATTGCAACGAGCCAAAAGCAATTTGCTGTCTCTCCCTATAAATGTAAATGACTGATGATAATGCTAGCAAAATTAATGATCAGTTTTATCATTTAGAGAACCATCTTTAGCTTGATGATGAAAATTTTAATAACTTATAACTGTTATCTGATATCATATGATTTGTCATTTGTATCAAATATAGAACCATCTCAGTAACAAGAAGAAAGAATTTCACACATTGTTTACTGAAAATTCATCAATTTTTTCATCTGTATGATAACATATCAGAACACAGGAAAAGATATTATATTGTCATGATAATAACTACGACCACACCATGTTTGCATATATACACCAAATTATCTCTGAAAGTTCGCTAATATTGGCTCAACTTTGATAAGGTGCCTCAATTTTTCTGTCATCAAGATGACATTTTCATAACATTGAGGCATAACTCATTAACCTTTCCTAATGATTGTGATAAAATGAAAAATATATCAATTTAATATGACAGGGGGCAAGCTAATTATAAGTGGGGGGGGGGGGAGGAATTGAGAACTTTGATGAGTATAATAACTCTACCAATGTATCCGTTTTATCAAAAGTGTGCCCCATCAATGTTAGTTTAAGGAGGAGTTATGGGAATAAATCAGAAGATAAGTGTAATAGTGGCCTCTGCCTGTGATATATCACCCTTGGAATAGATAGCCAGCCCTGTTCACGTAAAATATTGGGGCGTGGTCACACAGGACGGAAGTTGACTGGAAATGGGCTAAACTGTGTCATGTTCGCTTTAAGATGTTGCCGTGTTCACATGGGAGAAAAACTGACCAGGATTGGACATGAATGTGTTATGTTTATGTGTTTATGTTCAGACTTTACAACTGATTATGAACTATGGAGCCAATTCCTGCTCAACCTGATTCCATTGAACTCTTTCCAGTTTTTATTTATTTATTTATTTATTTATTTATTTATTTATTTATTTAGATTTTCTGTTTATATTCTGAGAAATTTCAATAAGGGAATAATGACTGCACATCCCCCCCCCCTCTCTCTCTCTCTCTCTCTCTCTCTCTCTCTCTCTCTCTCTCTCTCTCTCTCTCTCTACGAGTTTATGTTGAAGATGGGTTTTCAAGACATGCAGTATTACTTGCCTTAAGCCCACAATACTGCCACGATAGTGTCCAGTTCTATACACAAGCAGCATTTCTCATAGCTATGTTGATCCTTTGGCAAACAACACGGTGCAAGATTCCATGACAGCGTACAAATAGGATTATTACAACTGACCGTAGTGATATACTGAGTAATCTAAAGTTATCAATTCGTATCTGGATTGGAATTTTGGTCATCAGGATTGCAGATGCACTGAAAGAAATGGAGTTGACATAAGGCATAAGGCTCTAGGTGAATGGGGGTGGGGTTGAGGCAGGATGGGAAAAGTGGCGAAAAAAATTGTTCCTCTGTCCACGATATGTTTATAAGGTTGTATTGTGAAAAAAAAAAGAAATTTAAGATGGCTGGTATGAGAGAGAGAGGGAGAGATGACCAAATCTAACCCCATTAGAGATATTAAAGCATGGATGGCATAGATAAATTCAGGATAAGCCACAGGAAAGAGGGATCAGAATAGATTATGGGAGGAATTCCAGCAGAAAGATATGAGATGTTATGAAGCAAGCAAAAAAAAAAAAAAAAAAAAAAAAATGAAGAGATAGGGGAAAAAATTAAAGAAATGGAAAAATTATCAGATAGAATGGTTAGCATTAACAGATCATCAAATTAGCTTCAAAGCAAATGAAGAAGAAAGATTTTAGATCATAAAAGGGTTCCCCCAAGAAAACAAGATAAAAAATAACACATGATGACCAAAAAAAAAAGATATTTGCATTAAGTGCTGTCAACATTTTTTTTTCTTTTAATCAAGTACCCAAAAATCAATGAAATTTGTTTGGACAGGTTACTAGTCAAAACCTGGTGCCAGGCCTCAAAGCCACACCAAAGGTGTGTGACTTAATTAATCCCCGCGATAAGGTGGTAATACCGGGGGTTAATCCATAATCATTGGTTAATCTTGTTATTAGAACCTAGTTGACACCAGGGGTCAGGGCAGTCAAGGGAATGGACGCTGCCGGGTGTTTACTTTGCGCACCATTCCGATACCATTGAAATAATGATTTATTTACGTGATCGCTGGTTGATAACATTTTTTTCTTTCAGGTTATTTCCACTTGTGTAATTTGTTTAATAGAAAAAAATAATTAAAATTTATTTCCTTAAAGAAATATACATTTTTTAACTGATTTACTTGATTTTCTGTTGAGAATAAAAGGAAAAGGTATTTTTTCTATTGGTGTTAGGCATTATTATTTAATAAAAGTGATATGAATGATGGTCATTCTTCACTAAATTATATCAGCAATTAGCCTATCAAACAAGTAAGAAGAAAAAATACCAGTGATTTCTAATTAAATTCATGTAACATTGTACCAACATGTACCATCAAAAATGCAAAATGGAATATCGATGAGTTCAAAGCTCTGTAATCCACAAGGGAAATAAAACGGATATGCTTGTGTAATGCTCTGTATGGTTATGACGTAGAAAGTACAAAAAAAAAAAGATGAAAATCTTCTGTTCTTGATTATCAGGATATCTAAAAAAATGGTTCCAAATATTTGTTAATGAATGATAAAAATGTTTCTTTGTGCAGTTATAATGATAAGTGTTGTTTAATTTTGATATTGAGATAAATGAGTTGTTTGACATTTGGGAGCTGCTGCTGTACCTGTGTGTCTTCATTGCTAATGTATTGTCATTGGAATATATAGGTATAGTCAATGTGACTACAAAGGGACTACACTTAGGGGCTTAAGTTGTCTACTTGGACTCAACTAATACATGTTACATGAAGTCTAATATTGGAACTTTCTCTCACAAAAACAGTCAAATTGAAAGTCTGTCTTAATTGTAGCCTTATAGTTTCTTTGACTCATTAGTGTTTTGCATATTAAGTAGAAACAGTTTGCATTAATATACAAAAAAAAAAAGTAATAAATGTTTCTACCCAATAGTTACAATATTTGAGTTCTTATATCTATACCACTGCATGTCTGATAATATGGTGTTTATTTATATATAGTCATGTCACGCTTGTATACACCACTGTTTCTAGATTTGTTTGTTTGTTTTTTTTTTTTTCAAAACAAAAGTAGAGTTCAGCTCAAATCTGGCATTCTTTCCAAGGTGGCACCATGTGTCAGCATTTGTAATCGCTGAAATTTGACAACTTCTATCTCGCAAGGCGTTACCATCAGTTGTTTTTATCAGGGTGTCTCTGAAAGTGTGATGGACCTCACAGAGAGAGTGCACAGATTGCAGTGTTGACTTTACTGACCAGTTTCAAAGTTTCTCATGTGAATTTTTGCACTCCAGGAGCAATGGAGTATTATTTGAGCTTTGAAGGTGGCTTTTCATGCTGTGATTTATTTTTGATTAGTGAAAAATAGACACTCAGTAGTGATGAATTTTTAAGTTCATTTTATTTTGTCATTAAAAGTGTTTTCTTCTGCAGTTTTATCTTGTTTGTGTTTGGTGTACATGTGTATGTATAAAATGGCAAAAAAAAAAAAGATTTGTGTTCTATCTAAACAATTAGATTGAGGAAATTACTGTCAGATTACACAGCAAAAAGAGAACAAATTACCTTTTTTCTCGCAAAATCTGAGTTGTAAAACAAGTGAGATGTAATAACAGATAGCAGGGAAAAAAACTTGTAAAAAGCTTATTCTCCTGATACATGTACAGACTCAGAAGTTTCACAATATTTGGAAAGTGATAAATTAAAGCTTGAGCACACACACATAAAAAAATGAGAGAGAAAAAAGAGCCCTGCAAGCATCTGAGATAACAGCCTTGTGTTTGATGTGATGGTTTCAAGACTTCCAGATGCAGCAGGATATTTATCTGAATAACACATCTTCTATTAACACAGTTGCCACATTATATAAGGAAGTGCATGCCTATTACACCTGTTTGACAGGTTTTGGGTAAGGGAGGGTGAGAGGGACAAAAATACAAAAAATAAAGACAGTGGGTTATGTAGGCATCTTGTTTTTTCACAAAAGAACCACCATTGTAATGTTTCCTAACATTAAGTTTCAATTTATTAGCAATAGAAAGTATCACTGTTTTTAAATCATTATTCTGTTATTTGCTTTATAATATTTTTTTCTTGCAAAATTGTAAGTTGGGATTAACAGGCTCATTGTGAAGGACAGTTTGGTTGTACCTTGGTATCTTGCCTG